CGGCCCCGAGCCCGCACGCACGCACGCCGGCCCCGCGCGGCCGAAGTCCCCCCGGCCAAACACCGGCGAGCCCCCCGCCCGCTCGGGTCCCGCCGGCAGCGCCCCCGGGCCCGGGCCCGGAGGGGCCGCGCGCCGCTCTGCAGAAGAAAATAAAAACACGAGCGCCGCCATTGGGGGCCTCTCTCTCTCTCACTCTCTCTTGTGGTAACAACCGGCGCGCCCTTCGCTTGGCGCCCCCCCCCGGGCAGGATCGCACGCGCAAAAGAAAAATGGAGGCGGAGGGTATCGATCCCCCTGCCTGCCGCATGCTAAGCGGCCGCTCTACCATTTGAGCTACGCCCCCGGTGATGGGTTTATGCCCGGTGTGGGGGCTTTTATCCCGCGTCGGTGGTGTGCCCGGCGGGCTGCCCCCGTCGCCCTGGCCGCCGACACGAGGCGCCCGGCTCCGGGATACCCTTTGCTGTCCACACCCGTCGCACCGGGCCGATGCAAGAGCGCACCGGGCCGAGACCAAGACTATGGGGGCACCCTCCCGGCCGGGGGCCCGCCCACACCCCGGGCACAGGACACGCCCCCGCGCCAGGCCCACGGCATCAGCAGCACGGGCCACAGTCCCCCCCATCAGACGAGGACGACGCGGCAGGTGCCGGGCTCCCGTTCTCTTTGTGCAGAACCGGGTATTTTTGGGGCCGGCTTGCTGTTGTTCACACCGATATATTCTCCGCAATAAAATAGTCCTCATTGACGCGGCGCATCTCCCCGCGAGACTCCGCCGCCCGACAGTCGGGCTTTTTATGTTTGTTGTGCCATCGGCCCCCCCCCCCCCCCGGCCCGGCACCGGCTCGCGCGCTCGGCCCCCACTCCTGGCCGGGGCGGCTCTCGCCTCGCGGCCCCGACGCGCCCGGGGGCCTTGCCTCTGCCCTTTGCGGGGACCCCTTTGCTTCCATGGGTGTGTTGTATGTGCGGCGCCGCCCAGGGTGCGCTCGAAGGGCTGCCCGCCGGCCGGCCGGCCGGCCGAGCCCGGCGCCCCCGGCCACACGGTGGCATGTGCCCGGGCAGCATCCTCAGTCGGCGGCCCGGCCCAGCGTCACGGCCTTCAAGTGGAAGACCACCCGCGTCGCCTCCGGGCAGAGAAGACCACAGGGGATTTCCTGCTCATTGGTGTCCAGCAGCAGCTCCGGCGTGAGGACCAGCCCCTCGACCACCAGGGCCCGGGCCTCGAGCAGCACCACAACCGAGTCCGGGAACACCCGGCCCAGGGCCGCATGCAGGTCCCCCTCGGTGAGGCTGGTGGTCGCCGGCCGCGCCATGCCGCCGGCCGGGGCCACGCGCAAGTGCACCATGCCCAGGCGGACCGGGGTGCGCAGGCGCACCCAGGGCAGCGCCGGCCCCGAGACATCCGTGACGAAGTGCCGGAAATCCTCGCACAGGCGTATGGCTCGCGGGGCGTCGTGCGCGTCGGCCGGCCTCGCGAAAAAGGTCCGCCCATGGAGCTGGAAGAACAGGCACTCCGGCAGGGCCGCCTCGCCAAGCGTCTCGAACAGCAGCTGGAAAACCTCCCGCGGCAGCATCAGCCCCGAGTACAGCGGCGACTTGGACCGCACGAAGGCCAGCTCCAGCAGCAGTGTCCGCCGGCCGGCAAGCAGCATGGCCGCCGGCGGCAGGGCCACCGCTATCCCGCTGCCCGAGGTGTCGAAGGACACGCGCGTCAGCCCCGCGGCCACGGTCCCGATCATAATGCTCACATTATCCGCCGTCAGCATGTTGGTCAGGGTGAAGCCCATCTCCGGGTAGCCCGGCACCCCGCGGTACGTCTGTCCCGGGCGGAGTGGTGGTTAGTGTCTGGCCTTGCTCTTCCTGCTGGTCCACATGCGTGTGTGTGCGCGTGTGGGAATGCGGCTGTAGGGGGGATTGTGCAACCGGGTGCGGCTGTGCAGCTGGATGCGGCTGTGCAGCTGGATGCGGCTGTGCAACTGGGTGCGGATGTACACTAGCATGCGGCTGTGCAACTGGGTGCGGTTGTGCAACTGGATGCGATTGTACGCCAGCATGCGGCTGTGTAACTGGATGCGATTGTACGCCAGCATGCGATTGTACGCCAGCATACGATCGTGCACCAGCATACGATCGTGCACCAGCATACGATCGTGCAACAGCATACGATCGTGCAATAGCATGCGATCGTGCAGCAGCATGCGATCATGCACCAGCATGCGATCATGCACCAGCATGCGATCGTGCACCAGCATGCAGCTGCACGCCAGCATGCGGTCGCGCGCAGATGCAAATCAGGAGACAACGCCCCCCTCTCCCCCTGTGGCCGGCCCCTCAGCCTCGCTCGCGCACCTGGTCCGAGCACGGGGACCGGGGAAGGGTCCGGAAGAGGAGGTCCTCCAGCTGCTGGACGTCCAGCGCTGGCGGCTTGCCGTCCCCGGCCCAGGTGACCTGGCAGAAGGCCGACCACACGTCCGGCGTCCGGTCGGGCGTCAGGAAAATCGTGTCCATGACCGGCCAGCGCAGGCTCTCCCCGAGGACCGCCTGGTTGCGCCGGATCCCGGACTTGCCGCGCCCGCTGGGCGCGCCGGCCCGCCCGTCACCACGTGTCAGTCCAAGCCCGCCAATGCGCGTGCAGGCATGCCGGCCGAGGGCCGCAGGGGGCGCACGTCATCTGGAACTTGCCGTTGAACAGCACATCCATCTCGTCCTGCAGGAAGTACGGCCGAAGCCCGTTCATGGTCCGCTCCGAAAGCAGCACCTGCCGGTTGGCCATCGCCAGCGAGCCGGGCTTGTTGACCGCCGGCAGGCGGATGGGCTCGGCCAGCCGCGGCACCTGCAGCGACACCGTCAGCGGCGGATCCACCACCCGATACGCCAAATCCGGGGAGCTGACATGCACAAGGGCCCGCGTGTGGTCCATCAAGAGGAGCCCCGAGCGCCGGGGCGCCAGCTTGACATCCAGCAGCCGGGTCACGCGCGCTCGCAGGGCCCTCCCCGCCAGGCGCAACCCCACCTCCTGCGCCCGGCCGCCGGGAGCCACGCTCGTCAGTCGGACGCCAGACAGGGAACCCCACGCAGATCAATGGCCTGGCGCCGCCGGCGCACCTGTCCCACCCACAGCACCGAGCCATCCAGCCCCTCGAGCAGCTTGCTCACGGCATCCGAGTGGGGGATCTGCTTGATGGACGTGTCCCCACGCAGCAGGTGCACCTCCACCTGCCACACGTGCGGCAGGGCCACCGTGGCCTCGGCCCAGAGGACCCGGCTCCGGGCGAAGGCGCGCTCGGCATCCGGCCGGCCGACGAGCACCTGCCCGTCTGGCAGCGGCCTCCGCGGGTTGGCATCCGGGCTGGGCTCCGCGCGTTAGCACATGCGCGGCCGTCCGCCAGGGCGGGCATGCAAGAAGGAAGATCATCGCCAGGGCAAGTGCCCAGGGGGCTCGTACAACAGCGTCAGGATGTGGTCGTGCCACCGGAGGAAGATGTCCATGCTGTCGGGCAAATGGCTGCGCAGCAGCATGTACACCCGCGGGCTGACGGCGGCCTTCCCCGCCGGGAAGCCCTCCAGCGGACTGACCACCACCTCCAGGCACAGGGGCGCCTCAGCCTCGGTCCTGGTATCGAGCTCAGCATCGGTCTCGGTATCGGTCTCGGTATCGGCCGGCAGCTCGACCCCCAGCCACCTTCGGCCCTCGTCTTCGCCCGGACGGCCGCCCTCGCAGCCCGTACCGGCCACATGCAGCAGCGTCCCCTCGGCCAGCACGCCGAACCCGGCCGTGCCCTCGCCGGCCGCGGCCCAGGCCAGCGTTTGTACGCTGCCCGTCCACCGGGCGCCCTGCGACTCGAAGGCCAGCGCCTTCTCACCAAGGAAGACACGGTCAGGGGCACGAGCACGGTCGACAATCCACCCCCCCCCCCCCCACACACACACACGGCGGGCATACCTGGTCCACGTGCACGAGGGCCCCCTGGTGCGCGCGCAGGAAGTCCGCCTTGAGCTGGTCGGCCTCGCCGGCCGGGGAGCACCCCTCCGCCGGCCAGAAGGCCACCGTGGCGCTGCTCGCCGGCGGGATGCGCGGCGCCCGCTCCAGCACCAGCGGCGCGGCGC